CTCACTGCTGTCCTTCTCTGATTTAAACTATCATACCTCAGCAGTTTTCCCTGTTTGCCTTCCTTAAGAATGGCCTCTCGACAGCCACACTTCCACTGAGACAATTTCTGATGACTATGTGTTTTCCTGACAGACTGCTAGCAGCAAAGATACAATTTAAAATTGGTTCTTTGCCAAGTCATTTGTTACGTGCAGCCTGTTATGTCTGCTCTTTAGTTAGTTCATACCTTGAGTTATGTGCATTTTTATGGTTGAATGATTTCAGAGTCAGTGTGAAATGGTTTAGTAAAGAAAGAAAGAAAGAAAGAAAGAAAGAAAGAAAGAAAGAAAGAAAGAGCAGCCAAGTGTTAAAAGAAAAATCTGCCTGCAGACTGAAGATTTTTTGTTCAAGACCACTTTAAAAAAGGAAGAAGGGCTGTCTCCTTGGAATCAAAATATGAGAAAATGAGGGTGACTCACGACTTTTGCACACTACTGTAAAATAATAAATGTAAAAGTAGCATAACATAGAAATGATCAAATACAAGGAACTTAGAAATTTAAGTGGTGGTCATGAGACATACTCGAAAACTGCTTACTTCAGAAATTGTATTGGTCGGAACAAAGGTCAGCAGCAAGGAATGACAGTATGCATGCACCACAAAGAATTTTAGAAAGGAAAACTGGAAAACTGTTGCTCAAGAAAACTTTAGAGAAACACAGAAAACTCTGAATGAAAAGAATCTGAATGAAAATCTACATACTGCCAACGGAGACATGCCAAACTGTGTTTCGTTGTTATTGTAACAGTTACAATAAAGATGTATTCTATTCTTTTGCACAGCATTGTACATTTAAAATAAGTCACTGTTTAAAGCGAAAGCACCAACATAAAAGCAAAAAAGTAAAACAAAACGTGCACCATCAGCATCTTGTCCTGTTATATAGCCATTATAAAGCGTTCTACTTTCCATTATATGATAATTACTGTTGCACCACAGTGTGTGGTATTTGATTGTAGTAATAAAAGCAATGTAACAGCGACATCTCGAGGACTGTGAGTAACCTTACCTTATTGCTAGCTGTGCTCTGTCCACAAACAAACATCATAGTCAGTGGTAATGAATAAGTGTGTGAATTTAAAGCAGCTATTATAAATAAAGTCCGATCAGCTGTGGCTAATTTAAACAGCTAACAGTTGCTACATTTTGGGGGAAACTCGTAACTGAACCACTGCCCGCCATACCATACTTCTGCCACTTTCTTTAAAATTATACAGCGAGTTCTAGCTTAGACCATAACTGATGGGTTAACTCAGATCACGAAAAAAAAAATCATTTCTAACTAGAGTGCGTTTATTTTTCTCACCTCCTCGCAAGCGGTGTTCTTCCGGCTTGTGGAAGCTTCCAGCTCTCCGTGGGCAGGACAGTCAAATCAGCGCCACCTCACGTTAAGCTGCTATCTTTTGTTAGTCTAATTTATTCACAGCCGGATAAAAGCACATAGACCGACGCTATCTTTCTTTTTTCAGCGTATTATATTTATGTTAAAGTATATTAAACCTTGGCCCACTAAGTGCCCCGTGGACTACACAGCTCCGCCATGTTATGACATCACTGCCTAATCCCACCCCGGAGCGTGTAGTTGGTGCGGAGTCATGAAAGTGTTTGTAAACAACTCAGTCAGAAGGTAACTTAACAGCTCTACGAATATCCTCAATTTTTTTTAATTAACCCACGCGTGACTGCTTATAGAATCAGTGTGTATTTAAGCAGCGCTTTGGTCAGTTTGCATCTGACGTGTGAGGGTAGATATCTTTAGTTAGTGTTGGGTTTTAGGGTTAGCACCCATGCTAAATGCCAAGCTTGATGTTAGCCGGCAATGCTAATGCTGCCTCACTCTTCCCACAGAGGTGGTAAGCTAGCTAACGTCATATTTGCTAGCCGGCTAGTTAGCTCAATGACTTGCCTTTGTCTTGGCGACAATAAAAGCGCAGTTCCTGCCGTTGCGTGACAGCTTTGTGTAGGTTAATATAGCCATGGGTAAATGTGTGCCATCAAGTTTGTGACATGCTGACAGGTATTTCCAAGGCCTGCACCGGCTTTAAACGGGGTCAGCGTACGCTTAAACAAAAAAAAAAACAATCGACAGTCTAGATTGCACTATATTACAACGCTGATTGCTGCTAGCAAGCAATTTAAAACTACCTTAAACTAAAGTATTAGCATTAATTTAGCTTGCTGTTTTCGAGTATTTTATGTTAAGTCACTTGTTGTGTCAAGTGTCAAATTACACAGGGAGGGGGGGCACCATTTGCATGTTTTTCCTGCAGGCGTAGCAAACTGGAGTCGGACCAATCCCCATACACATCTCCGAGTGTCATCACATCCTCCCAAGTGTACCAGATTGGGGGTGATGAAGGATGTTTGAGGTCACGCCTTCTCGACGGGTCAACGGGATGACACAGCTGTAACGTCACTGACTAATTTGTAGCTGTTAAAGCAGCTGTAGGATTGCACGTGCAGAGCATCAGGACGCCTTACACTACCTGTGTGTTGTTCACCTGCTGAAGTTAAGATGCCTTGGCCTTTTTCTGAGTCCATTAAAAAGCGGGCCTGCAGGTACCTCCTGCATCGGTACCTGGGCAACTTTCTGCAGGAGAAGCTTAGTCTGGATCAACTGAGTCTAGACCTTTATCAAGGCACTGGGTCTCTTGCACAGGTTCCACTGGATACATGGGTATGTGTAGTGCATGTGTGTGTAGCTGAAAATACGCCAGATTAAATTATCAGTTAAATAAACCAAGAGGTCCTCTAATGTTTTTTCTTTTTGTTTTATTTTGTTCCTCAGTCACTCAATGAGCTACTGGAGACTGCAGATGCTCCTTTTGAGGTAATCACAGGGTTCATCCAGACCATCTCTCTGACAGTCCCTTGGGCAGCACTGCTGCAGGAGAACTGTGCCCTAGAAATCAAGGGTTTGGAGATGGTTCTCAGACCAAGACCAAGAGTGGGTAAGGATATATATATACATTTGTCCCTCTACAACACCTGAGAAAAAGCTTAAAATTAGTAAAAGTAAAGTTTTATTTTATACATATGAGTAGACAAATAAGGTAATCACTTCTGGTTATGCTTCCAGCATCTGGCGTTGAACCCATGTACTGGTCCAGTTTCATGACAAGCAGCATGCAGCTTGCTAAAGAATGCCTGAGCCAGAAACTAACCGATGATATGGGAGAGAGCTTCCAGCCATTTGAAGGACTGGAGAAGTTTGCAGAGACGATAGAAACAGGTAAATTGCTTCTGTGTTTTTTGGCATTCAGCAGGTTTACCTCACAAATACTGTGAAAAACAATGTCTTTTAAATTTCTTCTCTCACAGTTCTGAGAAGAGTCAAAGTGACGTTTTTGGACAGTGTTTTTAGAGTCGAACACATTCCAGAAAATTCTAAAACTGGAATCGCTCTTGAGATTCGAATCAACAAGTAAGTTTTTGACAGTCAGTGGCACCTCAGTTTCCACAATAAGATCATCTACTTCAAATTGGTATATATGGTCAAAGTTTTGAACATATTAAGCATGGGGAGGTACTGGTGCTGATGTTTAGTGAGAAGTTTGTATTTTAATACTTGATCTCCCCTGACAAATACCGTCTCTCTTCAGGATTGTGTACTGCGATGAAACAGGTGAGGAGAGTTCAAGTGTCAATGTGCATCAGCCAACCACGTTTGCACATAAAAACGTGCAGATGGAGGGAATTACTGTATTCTGGGACGAGTTCTCTGATGCGTCTCGCGCTGCTTGTAAATCGTCACCTACTCCATCGGTTAGTGTAGCAAATTTCACATTGTAAGAGTTGTATATATGCATGTGGCCTTTTTAATCAAGTCTTTCTGTATTTTGCAGGAAACTGAGCCAAAACTCTCACCTAGCTGGAATCCAAAAATAATATGCGAGCCGCATCCCCAGTTCACAGAGCCTGTATCCTCTTCAGCGCCTTTTGAACCTGTGCAGGTTGGCAGCCTCTGTGGCAAAATTGAGTTGTCCCTCACTCTCAAAAATAACCTAGCGATGCCTGGTGCAAAGGTAAATTATCGATTTTTGAATCACAAAGATTTACGAGGAAAACAACTTCCCATGTTGTTTATCCAGTATCAGACTTTTGGGGTAATATTCACAAAATTTTGCCAACTTTTCTTCTCAGCTGGATGTTGTTGGACAGATCGATACACTCATTATTCTGCTGTCCCCACGGCAAGTTCACCTTCTTTTGGACTTATTTGGAGCCTTCTCTGGTGGAGGTGAGAACCACTCTCTTTCGAGATGATGGAGAACTTTGGGACCAGATGGGGTCTTACGGGGTTATTTAGAAATTGTGAATGTAAGTGTATTTCTAACTCTTCATTTAAGGTGCACAGGAATGGACTAAGGATAGGAAAAATCGCCCAATACAGCAGGAGGATGAGTATCGCCTCCATATGGAACTGAACCGGTGCCTAAAGAAGGATACTGCCGTCCCAGGAGCAGATCCTGACCTCTTTGAAAGCCAAACAACTAGAACTGTGTCGAGTCGAGGTTGAGTTGAAGCACCATCCTGTAATGTCTACATTTTCTTTGATTTTGGTGATTGATTAGCTCTTCTGATGAAAATTTTTCTGTTTTTTATCTTTTTTGTTTTGCTAATGTAGACGACGTGTTTTTCTCCATGGCTGACATGGACATGTCTCATAGCTTGTCATCCCTGCCTCCTCTGGGTGAACCACCCACTGTTGATTTGGACTTGTCACTCACCAGTAACTACTCTGCCTCACCAGGAGAATCTCCCTCTGGAAATGCAACAGTAAGCCTTCATTTGTGTGATCATGCTTACAGAAACGTTCAATATGGTTTAAATCAGGTGAGATTAAGGACTCTGAATGGTCTGGAAACTCAGTAGTTAGTGATCTCATACAGGAAAAATGAGTTATACAAATAAATATTTTGAATAGTAGTGTTTCATTTTCATCTGCGTTTTGTAGGCTCTGTGGGACGAATATATGGACGTACCACGACAAAGAGAGAAGCAGACTTGTGAAACTCCCCTCCAGTCACGGGATTCCCACCTGCCTCAGAAACTGTTGAGGCAAACTTGTAAGCACTACAGTAAATTAATAGATACATAAACATATATTATGCACTCATACACCCTCAGTTTATCCAGTGTGTGAAACAAACAGTTTCAGCAGTTGTTGAACAGGTTATGTTCAATCAAAAGACTTATGCTGAAATATTCCCAAGATCAGTTCCCCCTTTGTGTTCATGTACATGGTTGTAGCTGGACATTATTCGCCGTTTGTGTTTCAGCCCATTCGTCCAAAACCCACAGTGATGAGTCAAGGCCAGAGTTAGTGCTGAGGTTGACACTGGGCAGTTTGGCTGTCTCAGTCCTCCACATTGACCCGCTGCCGCCACCACATGCTGCTCCCAGTCCTCTCGGCCCCATGGCTGCACACTTCTTCAGCATGGTGGGCCCAGGACAGCTTGAGCCAGCCGCTTTCCTTCAGTCTCGGACGGTGTTTAATCAGGCTTGTCCTCATGACCACCTCAGGTGCACTTCTAATTTTAACTAATTCCTGTATTCTGAATGAATGAGTATGTGAAGGAATCAGATCACCTGAATCACCTGGGCTTATGTTTGCAGGTTTGTAGGCCAGGGTCTGAAGTTAAACTATGATCACTGGCAGGGATCCAACTTAAGGACTTTTAGCACTGACATTACCCTGAACCAGATGGAGTTTCTAGAGTGTCTGTTCACCTCTGAGGCTGTCATTGGTGGCTCGCAAAAAGGAGTTCAATATACTGAGGTGAGACCTTCAAGCCTAAGCTTCGTACATCTCTCACTGCATAACGCTTTGGATGTTTGAACACTGCGTACATGTATTTATACAGAACACTTGAAAGGTGCAGCTGTCTTGACATTAGTGTTTCACTTTAGTTTTTCTCTCACACCTCAGCTGCTGACATTTGACACCAAAGCCAGTGCTGATGCGCCGCTTACCACCTGCCTTCACCTGCTTTACAAACAGGCTGAGCGCAGAGGTCCTCAGGTAACTGCATCCGTTAGCTCAATATGAAACCACAACGCTTTAACAATCAAATGCTGTTCCTCCACAATGAGTGTCTGGCCTCTACTTTTAACCCTTTGCCTCGCTGTGCAGGGCGGCCAGGTGCGTCTCAGCACCATTCCCAGGAAAGCTGAGATCCAGGTGGAGCTGGGTCCTGTGCACTCTGAGCTGGACATCAGTATTGTGGACCGCCTAAACTCACTACTGCAGCCTCAGAAACTAGCAACCACAGAGGCGATGGCCTCCCACATGTATACATCTTACAATAAACATGTCAGCTTGGTAAGTGTGGTCCATCATGTAAGCCTATGCTTTTTGTGTATATGTTCTGACATTGAGGTTTTAGTGTAGGCACAAACTGCTTTTCTGCTACAAAAAACAAACAAACAGTAAGTCAGTACATAGAAAATTCACATTTCTTTGTACTTGGCATATATGAAAGTCATCTAATCTCCATCTTTGGCTTTCTTCATAAATTTCACAGCACAAGGCTTTTACAGAGGTTTTCCTTGATGACAGCCATACTCCTGCCAACTGTCATGTGTCACTGACAATTAATGCACCAGTGCTGGGCATTGCTGTGCGCTTCCCCATCCCTGATCTGCGTTCAGATCAAGAGCGGGGCCCTTGGTTCAAGAAGTCCCTACAGAAAGAAACACTGTACTTGGAGCTGGAAGAGCTGGAATTGAAAACCGAATTCATGGGTGGCAATTCACCTGACCAAACCAAAATGGAGCTCACTTTTAAGGAACTCACTGGTGTGTGTCAAGATTTCAAAAGCTGCTCTGAAGATTTAATTGTCTGTTGACTTGGACTTTAATTGTTTTTACTTTTACCCGTTTGCACAGGGAGGTTCCAGGAAGAGGACGATCAAACAGCTGCCCGGTTCCTCAGAGTGTCACACACAATGGATGGAGACATGACCACATCTGAAAGTGTAAAATTTGATTGGCCAAGGTAAGATCACATAACCAACCAATATAGATATCTCTTTGTTTAGCAGTGTCAGTAATACTACATTTTTCTGTGCAGGGTTGTGCTCAAGATGAACCCAACTGCAGTCCACTCCATCCTTGAGCGTGCGACAGCTGAAGATGAGGGGGCTGAGGACCATTCTCTTGAAGAGGAAGAGGAGGAAGGGGCTGCTCATTCACTGAAGGATGTATGTGACTTTGGGAAGCCAGAGCCATCACCCTTTTCTTCACGTAGGGTTATGTATGAGAATGAAGAGGTAGGTTCTGGGTCAACAATGTCCAGTTAACCTATTCTTGACACGACTGTCTCTGTGATTTTTAACTGTTCATACTGTAGCATCTCAAATCTGCATTGTAGCCCCTGCACCTGAAAACTACAGTGAATAATTACCAGACAACCTCACACTAAACGGCTGCTTTCTGACGCTTCTGCAGAAAGCTGAACGTTTCTCAGCTCACATCTGTCTTTAAGATTTATATATCCACATATTTGTTTGACACACATGTTATCTGGAGGACATTCCTAATATGATTCAGTTTAATGCAATGTGGAAACTGAAAGCTTGTGACACATGTGTATGCCGGAAAGACTCAATTATATCAGACGAGCTGTAACCAGTGGGAAAACCCATTGTGTATATATCATAGATTGTGGAACATTGTATCAGAGTTTCCACAGTCATTAGACTCACACACACACACACCTCTACCTGCATGTGAGGCCAAATTTTTGTGCTGCTTTTTGATGTTTCCTTGAAAGAATTGCCAGACTTGAGCAACAGGGAATAATGTTCAACAAGGTTGTTTTGGAATAATTCACTAATATGTTTAATTTGAACTATCACTATAGGTCTGTATCACTATAGTTGTGAGAAAGATGCTCAAAGTGATGTTTTGCTGCTGTGCATGTTATTGCAATCCTAAATTATGAGTTTTAGATTTGTTGCTTTAAATCTATTCTTATGACACAGCTACATTAAATGTGTATATCTTGCCTAACTTTCTCTCCGAGTGATCATCTTACATGTAATATGAAATCACAGCATCACCACTCCTTCCCCCACAGCTAAAGTTTTGAATGTTCACTGTTGAAGCTCCAGTAGCGTACCTTCTGTCCTTCTTGCCCCCCTCCCTCATCTTTTACATGCAAATCTTTTGCTGTTTTTCCTCCATTCTGTCTCACTGTGTCACTCTCATCACCTTCACCGGTCAGGCACGTATTTCATTACATTTACTTCTAGTCCAGAAAGTTGCTTCTCCAAAGGCAGTAAGTGATGTAGGCATTAATACACTGAAAATACTATTGAAAGATACATTTGATGTCCAGAGTCCTTCAAGTGTTTTTTGTTTTCTTTTAAATACTTTTCCAGTTTTCTTTGTCAATTGAAAGGTGTTGCTATTTTGTTAATGGCATTGGTCCAAAGCTGGAGCAAAATGTACAGGTTGATTTATTTGCATTGGGAAGCGAGGATATTTGGTAATATATTTACATGTGTGGCAGGTGCATCTTTATGCAAAGGTGTGCAATAGCTCTGCTTTGCGTACCTAACCTGCTGACAAAACAGGTGGTGACAGAGTTGTGTTTACATTCACTATTATAATCTTGTAATTCCAGATGGTCATTCCTGGTGATGTCGGTGAGATGACGGTGTTCCAGGAAAAAACGATGAATAACTCCCGGTTCATCCTTGAGTTGTGTTTCCCTAATGTGCAGCTAACACTCCCCAGCAAGGCATTTTATGAAAAACTACACAACAGGTAGGTCACTTGGCGTTCACCCAGAGCAACTTCATTGCCTATTATTTATTTATCTTTAATTTAACTAATTTATCTACAACACACATCTTTAACAGCCAGTTAACATTGCTTATCACTGGACCTGAGGTTCACCAGCTACTGTCATATCAGGGGAAAAATCTTTTCAGCTGTATATTCTTCTCTATGCATTTAATAATTCTTATCCATATTCTAAATATTTTAGGATAAACAATGACCTTCTGCTGTGGGAGCCCACTGCTCCATCCCCAGTGGAGACTGTAGAGAACATGCCATATGGAGTTGGGCTCTCTGTTGCCAGTCAATTGATCAACACTTACTCCAAGGACAGCTTTAGCCAGTTCCGCTCCACTGGTCCTGAGGGTGCGACAGAACAGTTTTCACCTAATTCTTTAGTCACTTATGATGTCATGTTTAAACTACAACTTATCTCCTCATAAATGGGTGTTTTGTTGTCTTTGCAGAGGAGACCAGTGGATCAGAGGAGGAGAACATGCACTATTACTCGCCTGCCGCTGACCTGGGCTTCAGATCTCGAAAGAAGAAGAAGCCCAAAGCCCACAGCAAGAACTCCCAGAGCCTTTTCTCTGTCAATCTTAGTGTCAATCATGGCCTTATGTGTCTTCATGCTAATGCCAAGGTAACCTTCAGTATTTTCCACACGCAGGCTTTACTTTGACATCAAATATATTTGGCCAGCAAGCCAGAGATTTAAATCAGTGATGGATGTTGTTGATAAAATAAAAGTGGACAGTCCCCTCACTCAGCTTTAAAAGTTCAGTTGCTGCTAACCAGCCAGCTGGGCCCCTCTCATTGTGTCTTTCACTAAAGACAGCACAGACAGGTTGCTGCTGTGGTAGTCCTCAATATCTGCAGCAACTTGACCAGACTTAATCTCCCCTGTGGTGCACTTCTAGTGGTCACCCTTGTTCTGCCTGAGAAAAGAAAAAGTGCACCAAAAAAAACAATGAAATTTGTGGATAGCTTGTTATGTGGACAGTGGAGTTGAGTTTGTTGTTTTTACAGAAGGAGGATAAAACCACACTGAAAAACAAACATGGCGAGTTCTGGCTGGAGGTGAAAAATGCCGTTTTATTCAGCGTCACTCAGTATGAAGGCTTTAAAGATCAGCACTACATCTGCTTTCATACCAGCAGCATCTGCATGTATCACCAAGGTAAGCTGCTTCCTGTTTGTGTGTAATATCGCTATTGTCTTAGTCTTATGATGTTATGAGTGATATGTGGTGATAATGGGACCTAAAAATATATAAAAGTATAGGTAACGGTCTAGAACTGTACTAATGGCACGACTGTATGCGTTTTCACTGATGACTCAATCTGTTAATATCCCCAGGACTCATAGATGGAGGCACTTCCGTCTCAGACATCAAATTGCCATGCAGGACACATCCCCATTGGCTAGAGCCAACCATCTACCAGTCAGAAACATCTTCAGAAAAATTGTCAACGCCTTCGGAGGGTATCGGTTTAGAAGCTCGCAGCATGGTTTCTGTCGCTGTCAAAATCTCATCACAGAATGCAGAACGCAACATCAAGGTCAGATACTCAAAACCGTTAGAGGACTGTGTGTGTATTTCACAGATTTGTTGCGAACCACTTCAGCAAGTCCACTACAGACTCAAGTGTCACATTCTGTACATAAAGTACTTATGTTTGAGTTATTTTTAAAGGCTGGCGGCTTTATTCTGCACTCATATTGTCCATGAGTTTTGGATCTACTTTCCAGTCAAAATTGAGAAATCGCCATGTTTCATTATTGGTGGTTATTACATTTTTAAACCCTTACTGTGGAAGAGAAATAATGTTGTTTTGTTATGTGTTGCTTATTAAATAAGTCCACTTATGTGGCTGTGTGTATACAGTGGCTT